GAATAGAATAGAATAGAATAGAATAGAATAGAATAGAATAGAATAGAATAGAATAGAATAGAATAGAATTCTTTATTGGCCAAGTGTGATTGGACACACAAGGAATTTGTCTTGGTGTAAATACTTTCATTGTACATAAATGAAAAGATACATTCATCAAGAGTCAGGAATCATCAGGTACCACACTTAATAAGTCATATGATCACATAACAATTCAAATAATAATTTGTATCCTGTGAAACATCCAATTACACAGTAATTAAAACTTTTACTGATTATATTTCAATGGAAAAATAACAACATCACAGCCCGATCAAAAAAATCAAGTTTACAGTGAAAGGAAAACTTTTTGGTAACCTGGCTGTTAGTCATATCTCTTTAGAAATTTGAAAGATTGAGTGTGAAAGGAATCAGCACTGTTTGCTTTCTACATCTGTATTCTGCCTTCTGACAAACTAAAGTGCAAGGCCACATGAAGCAGTGATTCATAGAATTAAATAGAATTATACATATGGAGTCTATTACAAGTCTAATAACTTATTTTTAGAAGGAAGAAATACAGTATATGTCCTCTAATGACTTGAGAAATTCTCTGGATGGATCATTTGTTCCTGTCCAACGTATCACAGGCTATTATTCTCTGATAATTATCAGGAGAAGTTCTGAACCTTCATCCAAGTATTCTATAGATGTTGACTGTGTTTTCTATGTTTGTTTGGGGTGTTTTTGTGTGTTTTCTGAAGTCCATAACCCTCTCTCAAGTATTTGATAGTAAACTTAGATATTTTCCCCACATATCTTAAGAGCCTTTCTACTGTTTACAAAAAAGAGGTGACTTTCCTTGGGCTGGTGCCTCAGCTTGATTTCCAACACCTAGAACCACAGGTGGCATCTCTACATGAATGAGGACATCTCTGGAAACACTAGAACAGATTTTTATTGTTGTTGTTTTTCCTATTTTACAAGTTCTAAAGAGGAGTATAAATGACAGCATGAGGTTTCTAAAATCCCTCCCATTTCATCAGCCAATCAATCAATCAATTTCAAAACTGCCAAAAATCCTTTCACAGAAAACACTTTAGTCTTTATTTTTAAAAGACAAATATTTTTTTCCTGCCAGATTGCAACTGCACAAAGTCCAGGTGTTCAACTTCCTGTCAATAGTACTATATTAGCAGCCTGGATGTACAGTTGTCACTCCTCCTACTGGCAGAAGAGATGGATAAGGAGGCTGCAGTCAAGTAACACGCATCCTTTAGTAGTAATAAAAGAGAACACACAACAGTAGAAATGGAGTTTCAGCCTCTTTAGTGCTGTGTGGAATTGGGAGTTGCAGCAGCTGAATTATACTAGAGGGGCTTCTAACCATAGTTACAGTAGTATGCTTGTTGAATTGAAGCTTGTAAAAGTATGATGGCTCCAACTGAGTTGACGGTCCAGTCCTCAATGGAACTTGGCCTGTAGTCAATGTCTTCTTACCTCACTGAAGTTTATACCCATGATTAGCAGAATGGAAAAAAACAAAGAGATTAAAAAAAAACAGGAAAGACAGAAACAAGTCAAAGAGAGTTAATCTTTTCCCAGTGATGAATTTGTATCCTATGATCTATCTTTCAATTGACAGGTTCATATTTAACTTTTCAGGGTTGTTTTAAGTTTTCCTTCATTCAGTTCTCTGTGTCAGGTTTCCAAGTAACAAATCCATTGCAAGCAAGGCTCCGAGGCAATTGAGTTCCTCAAAGATTATTTTTATTGGAAATATCATATTGGCACATATCTGGCGAAAACTGATTTTGAAACTCCCGCAGTTTTCACCTTATTAAAAGTAAAATATTTTCTACCGTCTCAAACCAATCATATGGTCCAATCATTGTGCAATCCAACAACTGGGTGGCATCACTCCACCTTCTTCCGACCAGGTGTCCTTGATTCCCAAGAGAAAGAATTTTGTTTTGGTTACAAAAATCCCTCTATCTCAAATCCCCCCTCCCTGACCCTCAGCTCCAGTGTAGCAACACTGAAACAGACAAAACGGCTCCGGTCAGGACAGCTTCAGGGTTGATACTTTGTCAAGTTCAGGCAGTGATTCAGAACACTTTTCATGAATTTTGATGGAAGAAAGATGGAGAACTAGAAATAATGAGATTATTGGTAATTAGAGATGGATGAGAAACACGTTCAATTTTCATTCAATGTAAGGATGATATTTGCTTTTCTTTAGCATATATGCAAAAACCCCACGTACAAGAATTTGTATAATGGAGAAAATGTGAATAAACAAACAAACAAAAACTTTCCTTCCTTCCTCCCTCCCTCCCTTCCTTCCTTCCTTCCTTCTAAAATAGACCAAGCGATGAAAAGAAAAGTAACAAACTGCAGAAAATCAGAGTTGATAACTTCCCTCATAACAAACTCACCCCAACTCAGAAAACATTTTATGTTTTTGATGATAAATAATGGTATAAACAAGATGGATAAACTAATCACCAAGAAACTGAACAAAGTTTCTCCAGTGCCGTTTTCAAAATACCTGCCAGTTAGGATAACAGATAACAGACAATCAGAGTTGGAAGGGACCTTGTAGGTCATCTAGCCCAACCCCTCGCCCAAGCGGGAGACCCTACACCATTTCTGACAAATGGCAGTCCAATCTCTTCTTGAAAGTCTCAAGTGATGGTGCTCCCACAACTTCTGAGGGCAAGGTGTTCCACTGGTTGATTGTTCTCACTGTCAGAAAGTTTCTCCTTGTTTCCAGGTTAAATCTCTCCTTGTTCAGTTTCCATCCATGATTTCTTGTCTGGCCTACAGGTGCTTTAGAAAATAGCTTGACCCCTTCCTCTCTGTGGCAGCCCCTCAAATAATGGAGGACTGCTTTCATGTCTCACCTGGTCCTTCTCTTCACTAGACTAGCCTAGCCCAGTTCCTGTAACCGTTCTTCATATGTTTTAGCCTCCAGTCCCCTAATCACCCTGGTTGCTCTTCTGTGTACTTTTTCTAGACTCTCAACATCTTTTTTATGATGTGCTGAACAAAACTGGATGCAGTACTCTAGGTGTGGTCTTACTAAGGATTTATAGAGTGGTATTAGTACCTCCCTTGATCTTGATTGTATCCCTCTGTTAATGCAATTTAGGATTACATTGGCTTTTTTGGCTGCTGCTGCATACTGCTGGCTCATGTTTAGCTAGTTGTCCACTAAGACTCCAAGATCCCTCTCACAGTTACTGCTGTTGAGCCTGGTTTCACCCAGTCTATATGTGTACTTTTGGTTTTTCTTGCCTAAAGTGTAGGACTTTACTTTTCTCTACATTGAATTTCATTTTGTTAGATAAGGCCCAGTGTTCTAGTCTGTCAAGATCCATCTGGATCTTGAGCCTGTCTTCTTGGGTGTTAGTTATTCCTGCCAGCTTAGTATCATTTGCAAATTTGGTAAGTTCCCCTTCTATTCCCACATCTAAGTCATTAATAAAGATATTGAAGACTATTCGGCCTAAGACCGAACCTTGTGGCAACCCACTGTTTACTTCCCTCCATGTAGATTTAGACCCATTAAGGACTACTCGTTGAGTATGGTTTGTCAGCCATTTGCGAGTCCATCTAGTGGTCGTGCTATCTATTCCACATTTTTCTAGATTACTAAGAAGTAAGTTGTGGTCTACTTTGTCAAATGCTTTGCTGAAATCTAAATATATTATGTCCACAGTATTTTGCTGGTCTACTAATTTAGTCACTTTGTTGAAGAATGAAATAAGATTGGTTTGGCATGGTCTGTTTTTAACAAACCCATGCTGACTGCTAGTTATTACTTTACTTGTTTCTAGATGTTGGCAGATATATTTTTTTATTATCTTTTCCAGTATCTTCCCGGGTATTGATGTTTGGCTGATTGGTCTATAGTTTCCTGGGTCTGGTTTTTTTTTTTCCTTTTTTGAAGATGGGAACCACATCAGCGCTTTTCCAGTCCTCTAGTAGTTCCTCGGGGCTCCAGGATTTTTGAAAGGTGTGGTGCAGTGGTTCTGAGATGACCTCTGCCAGCTCCTTTAAAACTCTGGGATGTAATCCATCAGGTCCCGGTGATTTGTGTTCATCAAGGTCAGACAGGTGTTCTCTTACTATTTTTTTGCTTATTTTAAGTTTTATTTCTGGTCTGTCTTTTACAGTTATGTTTTTGGTGGGTTGAGCTATAGTTTTTTGTGTGTGTGAAGTCTGATGCAAAGAATGAGTTAAGCAGTTTTGCTTTCTCTCTGTTGCCTGTTACTTCCTTGCTGTCTTCTCTCTTTAGTGGACCAACTGTTTCCTTGATTTTTTTTCTTGTTTTTTATACGTTGGAAGAAATTTTTTTTTTTTTATTATCTTTGACTTTTGTTGCAAGTCTTTGTTCATTCTGAGTCTTTGCTACCCTGACTTCGTCTTTGCAGATTCTGGCTATCTGGTGATATTCTGCCTTAGTTGTATGTCCTTCTTTCCATTTTTTGTACTTGTCCTTTTTTTCCTTTCAATTTGCCAGAAAGATCTTGGTGCAGCCATGCTGGTTTCTTCTTGGATTTCATATTTTTCTTTCTCAGTAGTATTGTGTTGTTCTGGGCTTCTATGATCATACTTTTCAGAGTTTCCCAAGATTCTTGAGTTGTTTTCCCCTTTGGATTTTCATCCATGGAATTTTTCTCAAGTTCTTCCTGAGTTTATTAAAATCAGCTCTTTTAAAATCCAAGACTCTGGTGTCATTATGTTCTATTGCTTGTGTTTGTGTTATGTTGAATTCTAGTATGACATGGTCAC